TCTCTCTCTCTATATATATATATATATATATATATATACATATATATAGAGAGAGAGAGAGAGATTTTCAAATCAAATTTTATAAGAATAAATATTATTCAAATTTTAAAAATATTTAATAGTTTTAAGAATTAATATTAGATAATATTTTATAATTAAGAAATAGGAGAGATGGTATAATATATATATATATATACAAGATAAAAAAGATAAAATATAAAGAATTTCAAATTCTTACTTTTTTAGAAGAATTTTAAATTCTAGTATTTTATAGAATTTCACAAATACTTGAATTTTTTTTTTTTTTTTGTAAATTCTCTATCCAAACAAAATATTTCATCCCAAAACATTTGAAATTCATAAAAAAGAAAAATTACTCCATTTAAATTTCTCATCCAAACATACTCTAATATCATATTACAAGACAAATTTAAGTTTAACTTAATTGTACAAAATCAGACTTTTAAATAAGAATTATATCTAACTTACTAACTTATAGTTCTAGTTGATGTGAAACTTATTTTTTCCTAATACATCACCCAATACTATTAGATTGTTCATGGATAATATGATAGTTAAACATATTAATATATTTAAAATAAGTTCTAATATCATATTTGAATGAGTTTGAACTTAACTTAACCCAACTAAACTAACTTTTTAAGATGAGAGTATTATAAAAAGTTAAGTTCAAACTTGCATTAAAAAACTACATTAATGTAAAAGCCTCACCTAAAAGGTCAGTTTCTAAGATTGATTAAAGTTCAAATCCAAGTTCTAAGATTTTTTATATTTGAAGATAAATAAATCAACTTTAATATAAAATGTTAAATTATTTTAGATTAATTTAAAATCATATAAATATGATTAAATATAAAATAAATTTGCAATCAATAACAGATTTTAAAATAAAATTATCAAATTAAAATCAAAAGTATAAAGTTATATAATTATTTAAAAAAGTAATGTAAATTTAAATAACTATGTTAATTTGAATCACATGATTAATTTAAAAAGTAATAATTATTATCATTCATTGTAAGATGATCAAAACTGTCCATCCCATTCACTTGAAAATAGTCCTCACATTTGATATGTTTTCTATGCATATACATTATTATTATTAGTATTCCGACACAATTAAACCAGATATAGCCACATGTGTCAGTATCATCATCTTCCTTAATACCCTCCAACTCTGTACTTTACACAAATATTGCATCTACCCTAGATAGTAATCTTATTGAAGCAAAGACTGAAACACGTCCATGCTTTCCTATTAAATTATTGTTAGAACAATTGCTTGTTGCTTTCCAGAAACTATTAAATTTAAATAAGACGTTTCCATCTCATCCATAGAGCAAAGCTCAATTGTTCTTGTTTATGCCCTTGATGCCATTGTTTGAAGACAGAAACGATTGTAAATTTGTTGAAATGAAATAGATCTTGAACTAATGTTTTGAAATCGGATGGATAAATTTGGTTTAATAGGACCAGTATAAGACTGGTACAGGCACACATTAATCATGAATTCATTCATTTCAGTAGTTGCCATGCACTAAAAATAACTAGTTAAACTAAGCCAAAAATGTTTAATTTGATCTAGAAGGGCTCATTCTTCAATATTTGTGTTTTAATTTAAAGAATGATACTACCTCTGATCCTTTGTATAAGTAATTTAAAGAATGATACTACCTCTGGTCCTTTTTATAATAAACAAGTTACGGTAAAATATACAATAACTTGTTTCTTATAAAAAGGACCAGAGGTGGTACATCCTAATACTATGGTGCACTCTACAAAGTGGAAATGGTTTGTTTAGTTGTATCCAGAATGATACATCTTAATTCTATGATAGATCCTAGTGAAATCACCAGTTCACTAGCTAGAGTGTCTGCTAACAAAACCAACTCTACAAACTATTAATTAGTTTATGCACAAGATTGAACACAAGTAGAATGCAATTTAACAATAATTCAGCATGAAAATGAAGAAGATTGACAAGTTTATGATTGATTAGCAATCTAACAGCGGACAGCCCCTATTTTTATGTAATTTTGATATTCAACATGAAAACAACACATGCAATGATAAGAGGTATAAAACCTGCACCCATATAGGACATATATGCAGGACTAGTGAAAATCTAAGAAAGTTAGAAGTGGATTATCGAGAAGAAAGGAAGCAATTAGTGCAAATTCACTTAAAATAAACCTCACAACTAATAACATTCCCATGGGTAGCGGGTGGGGGACATTTCAAACAGAAGTTTTCTAATGCAAGAGTAAAAGATTTGAAACAATTGATGAAATTCGCCAACTTCAAGAGACTAAAATCAAACATTTTATATTAGTCTACCACATTAAGCATACAGACCATTTACATTTAAACAACACTATGCATAACCAAATAAAGCTAACAAAGGAGTACAATAAACCGGACGCTAACTCAGTGTGAAAGGCTGAAGCATTTGATGACATCTGCTAAACAAGACACTACTCTAAAACATTTAACTTCAATCTACCAAACCAATAATCCCCAAAAATGTCCAACAACTAAGCATACCAACCAACCAATTCCATTTTAAAAACACATACAGCATAATCAATTAAAAAAGCTAGGAAGTAGGAACTAAGTAATACATTAAACCCAACACCACCTAGACTAGACATGAAAATAGTAAAATTTCATATCAAAATAGGATCATGCGACCTTATCTAAGTTTGTCTGCCCAAAACTAAATTTCCAACAAGCCCAAGCAGTGAGTGATTCATACAATGTCAAAGTCATGTATTGCCAAGTACATTAGTTGAACTTCCAAATACGATACATTACATGCGTGTTGACAAAAATAATTGAATGGTAGTAAACATTGATTTCTTATTTTCTTACAAAATTGACAATTAGAAAACAACATCACAAAAAATCAAGAGGTATTTACTTTTTCTTTTTGCCGGCAATAGCAACCTTCTTACCCTTCAAGGTCCTGCAATTGTTCTTGGTTCGCTGGCCTCTGCAAGGAAGCCCCTGAATGTGCCTTATTCCTCTGTAGCACTGGATGTCCTTCAGTCTCTTCACATTAATCGCATTGAACCGTCTCTGAAGCCCCCAACGACATTGAATTGAACAGTTAGCTACAGAGAAACTCACAGAAAAGAAAAACGAAGTGGTTAAAGCAGTAGTACCAAGTCTCCTTCAATCATGTATTTGGAGACCTCGTCTCTGAGAGTGATGAGCTCCTCCTCAGAGAGGTCCTTCGTGAGTTTGTTGTCCATGCTGATATCACACAGGATTTGTCGCGCTCTCGTTCTTCCAACTCCATGAATGTACTGCAATGAATACTCGATTCTCTTATTGTTCGGAATCTCCACACCGCCGACACGAACGCACTTTATGCTCAGCCCAGGAACCTGCACGCAAAACCCTCGAATTCATGTTTTACTGTACGAAACACAAAACCCTAATTACATTTTGTTACCTTTGTGTTCAGAACGGGAAGCGAAACTGTGTTGGTGAGGCGAGCATTGGAGATGATAGCGAGGGAAGGTGCCACGGGCATTGCCAGCGTTTGCGCCATCTTCTGTTCTTTGCTCTCTGCAAGTTATCCACCATAGCCATAACCATATCCATAGCCTTATCTAGTCCCTCCAAACCCACTCCTTTGAATCCCAAAGCCCATTTCAAACCCAAATTCAATCGACACCTTTTATGTTTGGGCTTGTATAAACCTTCAGGCCCAGCTTTATTCTTCACGCATTTTCCCCTTCAAGAAAGGTCCATGATACATGATCCAACCAAATTGTAAGTTACATTTCTCGTAGTTGAATGTGTTTTCGTGATGTTATATTATTAAGTAGTTTTGACATTTTTAAAAGAAAAATACAGATTCATAAAAAAAAAATGAAATTAAAATCCTAGAGTAATATTGTATTTGTACTAATAAATGTTATATTTCAAATCACAGTGAAATCATTTCACTCGGGTAAAGAAATTAATAACCAAGAAACTTAAATGTTTTATTTTATTGATCTTTAATATTTCTTGAAATATGAGTTGGTATAAGAAAGGAAATTTTCAAAATTTTAAACACAAACAAAGATGCAAGTTTTATAATATAACAAAAATCACGGTAAAATCTTAAATAAAAAAATTGATTGGACGTCATTTTTTTTTAACTCTTAAAATCTTTAAGACATAAGTTTAGACAACTTGATTGTTCTAAAATTTTAAAGAATAAATATATAATCATTCAAAATTGAGTATTAAAAATCATGATAATTTTTTAAATACAAAAAGGTTGACTAAATATCAATTTTTTTTCTTTATAACTTACTGAGACATAAATTATGACAATTGGCTCAAGATCTTTTAAAATAAAATATTTTATTAATTATGAATCAAAATTTTATAATCTATAAAAAAAATAAATTATTTAAAATCAAGTAATATTTAATAGATAATAAATTATTTAAACGTGACATTCTCATAATCCTAAGATTTAAGAATATAATTTACTATTTTAAAGCTCTTTCCTAAATTAAGAACATAAAATTCATATCATAAATATTTAAAATACTACTACAATATTTTGATAAAAAATATTTGAAAAGCATTGTAACATTGTTTTATTAAAAAAAAAATTTATACCACAATAATTATAATAATAATAATAATTAATCACACAAAATATTTTAATAAATTAATTTTAATATACACCTCAGTTAATTTTAGGTTGTATGAATTAAGACAGTTTATAAATTCTAAATTTAATAAAAACAATTAATTAAAAAATTATTGACACTCAAATATGTCCATAAAGAATCAACATGACTTTGATCCTCCATAATACATAAAGATATGTATATTAAAAAATTTGTTTTTGTCAAACAAAAAATAAAAAATATAATATTAACTCCCCTTTTTTATAACTATAATAATAATGATTTAAGTGTTCATTAAAATAAAATACGTATACTTGTTAAATAAAATATATTTAATTATCATCGTTAATTTATGTCTTTCATGGTGACTTTGGATGCTACACTCTGTCTACTATTTTTTTCCAAAAAAAAATCAGTGAACAATATGATATTAATACACTACATTTAGACTGAAAACTTTAAATGCTTTTTTTCGTTTTTCTACTAATTGTATCTAGCTACAAGTCGTTAGCCAACAACAAACTCGCTGGAATAAATTAAGCTAAATCTTATTGAAACTCAGAAGCAGACATTTCTGCATTATTTTAATGTGATAACTGCTACCTTTTTGTTAAATTTACATTAATTAACTTATTTGAAATATTTCTACTTTCTTTTCATTTATTTTTTCCGTCCTGAAACCGCTCGTGGTATTGTTAGTTACTACTACATAATTAGCCTAGGTTTGTGGTTCCGCTTTTATTCTCCCTTTAAAGTTGAAACTAGCCGCCTAATACATCAGACAAACGTTGATTTACAATACTTTCTTAAACTATTAAATCCGCTTTCCTAAGGCATCATAAAGGGACAAAAGCATGTGCTTTTGTTTTTTTAATCATTGACTCTTCCCTCCCAACGTCCTTGGAGCTCATTTCCAACTTTTATGAAATTTTCTAATTCTTACTATATAATACTAGCTATCCCGTTCCATCCACTAGTACAAAACACCCCTTTTACGTTGGGCATTTAAAGCCATTTACGTCGGAAAAGAATCAAACGTCATTACGGAAGATGTAAAATTTACGCCGGGTCAAAAACCGACGTAAATTTACGTCGGACACATAAAGGCCCAACGTAAAAAATCGTAAAAATTTAAATAAAAAAAAAAAAGAAAACGCTGCAAGCAGAATGGGCTGTTCTGCTTGGAGAACGGCCCGTTCTCCTTGAAGAACGGCCGTTCTTCTTGGAGAACGGCCTGTTCTCCATGGAGAACGGGCCGTTCTGCTAGCAGAACAGGCCGTTCTCCAAGCAGAACGGCCCGTTCTGCTGGATAAACCCAGGCAGTGGTCACTTACTTCTGCAGCTTCACAAACACGAAATGCACAAACATTATTACGAAAAATACATCCCAGAAAACACAAACATCGGTTAAGGAGTGGTCACTACCTCATAGAAAAACAGATGGATGTATGGTTAAGCCATTTCCATCAACACGCGAAGAAGAAACAACGTAACTCCGAAGAAGAAAAATAGAAGAACGTGAAGATGAGGAAGACAATCACGATTTGAGGAGGAGGCGGAGGGATGAGGAAGAATCCACAACGCGCGGGAGAACGTGAAAATGAGGAAGAATGCTACGATTTGAAATCCATAGTGCGCGCCCATGATTTAAGGAGTTATTTACGTCGGACAAAGATGGGTCCGACGTAAATGAGATAATTTACGTCAGCTGCTTTACTGTCCGACGTAAATTATCTCATTTACGTCAGACCCATCTTTGTCCGACGTAAGTAACTCCTATTATTTACAGAATTGCCACCACATTTTTACAACGTCGAGTGTGCTAGTTTCCGACGTAAATGAAAAGACGTAGTAACTCATTTTTCCACTAGTGACCATATCCACCACTCGATATTATTGATAAAAAAATATATGCATATATCCATGAACTAAACAAACGCAGTGGGGGGCATATTTTCATCTTACAATAAATTAATAATTACTGTTCTTTTTAACTCACTTTAAACAAATCTTGCGGAGAATCTACAAAAATAAAAGAAAAACTTCGTATAAAGTTGAAACATTGTTGTCGACTAAGTAAAAATTAAGCAACCTAGATAGGAAAGAAGGTGTGATGATTGGCTCCTTTTTTAAAAAGTAAGAAAGGCACATAGATAGTTATATTAATACTAGTATAAGATTAATATATAAGGGAGGTCGTATCTAGTGGCATGGTCAGAGCCTCAGAGGGTGTTTAATAATAGGACGAAGTATGAAGTGAAAGAGAGGCAGCGTTGTTGTGCGTGGAAACTGGAACATGCATGTATGGTAAGGTGACCTTTCCGCACACCAAACACCACGCAACTTCCCTTTCCTTGACCTAATGTAAATCTGAAGGGTGACTGACGGTTTCTGTGAAGCGGCGCATGTCCTATATATCTCTATTATCTTCCACCCAATGCATCTTCCGTCATCGTCAAATTAATCAACGCACCATATGCAAGGCCTACACTGCCCAAATTCATATCTACTGTTATATTTTAACAAAATTACTGTTAATCTTTCTTTAACAAATCCATTTTCTATTGACAAAATATTCCTTCTGTCCCATAATTAAAAAAACAAAATTAGTAGAGTGCATTGTTTTCACCTATATAGACCTCGTTGTAACTCACAAAGTGGACTCCCTCCTACCCATGTATTGGAGTACCAGAATAGTGCATTGTTTTCATCATCCCCTTCTTTTACATCATATTTCAGCTGATTAGATACAGAACTTCATCCTTTCCTCAAACATTTTTGCATATCTATCCATTACATTGACGCAGAGTTGCAGCCCCCATTCACACCCAATTTTGTACTTCCTCTCAATATCTCGAGACTAATATCTCATTTTTTTTAGGAACATAATTCATACACTATAAAAAAAATCATATAATAACACACACATGTTATAATGAATGAATAATACAATATTTATCATTAAAAATTATTTTTATTTATACTTTATATATAATATATATATATATATATATATGTATATATTTTAAAAGAGTGACTATATATATTATAAAGAAAAATTAAAATTATGTGTGACTATATATTATTTATAATTACAATTTTTATATATATCTTTAAATCCTAAATCTTAAATATCTTTAAAAAATATTTGATTTAGCACTATCATGTTTACATATTTGATAGTTTTATGTAAATTTATAAATAAATAAAAAAAGAAATAGCCATATGTAGCGTTATTGATTTTTTAAAATACAAAAAATGATGATATTTTTAAGATGTGTGATGTGGGATACCATATATGATATTAATATTTTATTGCCAATAAAACAGAATTGGTTTTTGTCAAATACATTTGATGGTTGGCTATATTAGAGTAAGTACTGAAGTACATATGAATGGGGCAATATATGTTTATATATACTCTCACATACGTGTGTATTTAACCAATGTAGCATTATCAATATTACTCTATATTGGCAGCTTTCTTGAAGATTACAATCATGATATTTTAAACAGTCATCGAATTGATATTGAACAAGTATCTTGAATATATATATATATATATATATATATATATATATAATTCAATTGTTGAATTAAAATTTTTTGATATATAAATAAAGTTTACAAATTTTTTAAATGTTTGCAAAATATTTAATAAGTTTTTTTTATTATTTAAAATGACAGATAATTATATAAATATTTTATACATTAATTTAAATTTATATAACGAGATATTATATGATTCTTATATTTTTTTAAGAATTTGTAGATTTTACTAAGTGTTACATCGCTCAATAACTTTATATTAAATGTTAATTTTGAAAATTCAATCGTTAGATTGAAAGTTCATATCTCTTAGATTATTTATATCAAATTTTATATTAATCTAAGATGATTTGATACTTCATTCTCATAAAACAAAATTGACGTAACATACACATTTTAAAATATACTAAAATATAAACACTTTGATTATCTTCAAGTTGTTGTTCAATTTTAACAAAATTTGACATATATGATCTAAGAGATATGAACTTTCAATCTAACGATTAAATTTTCAAAATTCACATTTAATATAAAGTTATTAAGCAGTGTAACACTTAGTAAAAGTTACACCAGTGTCGTTTGAACTCTCTTCATATATATATATATATATATATTTGTGTGCGTGGGTGGAGGGGGAGATTAAATGACACCGATGTGACTTTTATCAGTTATTATATCACTTAATAACTTTACACTTTAAGTGAATTTTATTGATTCAACCCTTAAATTATAACATCATATTACCTTATATATTTATGTCAGATTTTGTTAAAATTGATCTACAATTTGAAAGTGATCACATTATTTATATTTTAGTATATTTTGAAATGTATATGTGTCGAATAAGTCTCGAGATCAAAATGTTGTTAGCCCTGATTATAGTGCTTTAATGAGTCGAGAAGTGCTTAACCTGACTAAATACTAATCCTGAGAAAGAGTAATGTTCAACCGTTATGAGACAATAAAAACTCTAAATAACCATATTCCCAATGGTAATATTCTTTTACCTATAAATACACTTGTAATTTACTTTCACAAGGTACACAACTTTCAATAAAATGCTAAAATACTCTAAATGTTTGTTAACTTTAGCACTAGAGTCCCTTTTACAAATACAATCCACATCTAAGATTTTGAGTCTAAAGATCGAGAGCTTTAAACAAAAGGTTTTATACATCTATTTCTCAGCAGTATAATATATTATATAATAATTTTAATCTATATGAATGATATGTCAAATTATTTTAAATTAATTAAGAAATTTTATATGTATGATCGAAGTAAGAAATTTTCTATATATTAGCTTTTAAATATTCTATGCAAACAATAATAATAATAATATAAAATTTTCTAATCACCAAATGATCAATGACACTATTTGGTCTCTTCGGAAAAAAAAAAAGAGTGTCACTATTTGGAACCGTTTGTTCTCTCTCATATTTTAAAGTCTTCATCAATATTCATCTTCAACTCTAATTTTATATTTTATGTACATATATCATACAGTACACAATACAACAAAGAAAGGTACGAGTCGTGCATAAATTGTTCTCGCCGTATGTATTATATATATTTGATTCAAATTAAACATCGTATTCATGCTTAAATTAATGGCAATACGCTGTAATGCCTTTCATAGAAGAGTAAACAAATTGAAAAGTATTCCAAAGAAAAAAAGAATTGAAAAGCGAGAGTTGCACACTGCATTTTATTTTATTTTATACATGCAAAAAGTAGTCAAAACAATTGACTTACTTGTCTACATCAAAACTTAAAGACGGGGAAAAGTAAACCTAGTAGCCAGTAGGTAGCTAGCTGTCCATGTACACTTTGATTTATTTAAAAATTGAAACATAAAAAATGTCGAAACGAAGAAGCTACTCCAATAGAATTATTTATATATAATATAATAGAATATATACACATAGAACCTAGTAGTTGAGTCCCCTAAAAGGCTAAAACACGAGCAAGTTGTTCTGGATGTCGTAGCCCAACTTCTCCAAGTTGGGCTGCACTGCGAACTGAATCATGGGTGGTGGTCCACAGGTCAACGCCAAGGTATCAGGAGATGCGTGCGGAACATGCTCCCTCAGGATACTTTCCGTGATGAACCCCACACTGTATTCCCACCCTTCTCTTAAGCTTTCTTGTACGACGTACCACACCTTGAACCTGTCATGCTTCTGAGCCCAATCATCAAGCTCTTCCCTCAGCAATATATCATCCTGGGTTCGGTTCGCGTACACCACATGCATTTGGGTGCGGTCCTCTGGGTCCTTCAGAATGGCTTGAGCCACTTGGTAAATGGGCGTGATCCCGGTGCCACCAGCCAACATGGCCAGCCTCGTGGCAAACCTTGGTTTGCCATGAACCAGGAAGTTTCCTCTGCCGGTGTATTCTATGTGGCCCAGTGGGCCTTTCACGTCCAAGACGGAGCCAATGGGAAGCGAGTCCAAATGCTGAGACATGAGGCCACCGTTGGGGAACTTGGGGTGCACGCCTCTGAAGTAAACCTTGACGACGAGGTCGAAGTACCCCACTTCATCCACGCTGCTTGTTGGCGTGTAGGCTCGCATGCATAGCTTCTCGTCCACGGTGGCGCATAGGAATAAGTGCTTCCCTACGGGCAAGCCCAGGAGTTGGTCCTCTGAGGGTAACGAGAAGCGGAAGAGCCTAACGTCGTGGGAGAGGGATGTTTTGGAGAGGAGCTTGCATGGGGTTTTCTCCCGTGGGGTGAGGGCCACGCTGCGTTGCGGTGTGACTTCCTTGATGGGGGCCAAATGGGTGGCGTCATGCACGGTGGTGTTTGGCGATGAAGAATCGGAGGTGTAACCGGTGGTCATGAGCTCGCCGATCCGGTAGTCCTCGAGCATTTTCTTGGCTTTGTCGGAGTGGATGGCTTCGAACTCCTCGGTGCAGTCGGTGCCGGCGTTGATGAGGATGCTGTCGGTGCCACCGGGGTGGTCTTTGAGGAAGCGGGTGCAGTCGTAGACGTAGCCGTGGACGATGATCCAAGCGGAGTCGGGGCTGTTGTGCTTTCTGACTTCGGAGATGGAATAGGTTTTTGAGGTTGTGTTCATGAATGGGGAGGAGACACTCTTCTTGAGGATTGGGTTTGACTCCGATGATTTCTCCAAGTGTTTTTCTTTGGCCATCCAGCCGCCAGATTGGTTGCCTGCTTGGGTGGGGTGCTCGAACACTATTCCAATCTCACCCTTGTGGGCCTTGCACACATTCGTTTTCACTCTGAACCAACAGTTGTTCATCATGCCCTGTACATTGTAAAACGCAAAAACCTTAGTAACAAGTATTTTTTTATTTCTAACAATTTTTCTTTTCATTACAAAATAAATGCATGTGTCAACAAAACCCAAATTATGATTAGAGTTTAATTATCAGGTCTTGGCAAGTTGGGCACTTGAATCAGGGTAATAAATAGTTTGATTAGATTTCAAGGCACGGGAAATAGTTTATTTCCAGCTGTCTCTAATTTAACGGTGCCAAAGGTGGGTAGTGTGCATGAATCTATCAAACAAAGTCGCGGTCAATATACACGCGAGAATGATAAATAGATGGATGGAACATGACAGATAATGGAAGGACGAGAGAGGCGGAAAGATGAGGAAAACGAAAGCAGCAAATACCCGGCTTGTTTGGTAAGATGGAAGTAAGATGTGACCTTAATTATATAAATTAAATAAATAAGAAAATTATATTTAGAGTTTAGCTTTAGCATATTAAAAACTCATGTTTTTCTTTTTCTTTTTATCATATTATTATTGAATAATGACTTTTAGATATCTTTATTTTAATTTTTCTTAATCAATTTCTTTTATTTTTCTTTCTTCACATTATATTATATTGAATAATGTTTGTATATATTTTTATATCCACAATCTTAAAAATAAAAGTCATAAGTAATATTTTTTTAGTAGTTTTAATATGCCAAAAACTAATTTCAGATATTTACTTTTTAATATACATAATTACTAAAAGGCACTTCATAATTTTGTGAATTATTTATAAAATAAAAAAATACATGATAATAAGTGATTATTAAAAATAAAATAACTATTAAAAATCCAAGCAGTTATGAAATTAAATTTATAAAAAATTGTAATTTATAAAAAGATAGTTATAAGTATAAAATTATTCAAAAATAAAAAAATTTAATGAGACAATTCTTTTTATTAATAATATAGATTATTTTAACCAAACTTTAATTATAATTAAAAGGATGAGGGTAAGTAATTTTTTTTATGAATGGTACTTAACGACGTTTGTTTCATATAATAATATTTTATTCTGAGAAACCATATTTTTAGAAATAATATAATTTAAAATATTATTTTTAAGAATATAAAAAATGATGTTCTATTCTTATAAATATATTTTAAAAGTTAAAATAACTTAAATAAAAAAGTTAGAAATGTTATAAAAAAAAGAATCTTTAATACTTTTATGGAATATTATTTATCCATTTCTCTATCTACACTCATAAAAAAATGAGTTTCCTAAAATAAACGCTCCATGGTCGTTAGTAGTGGTATAAGAGGCGTTGTTGTAAGTTATAAGTTAGTGAGAGAGAAGTAGTCACCATAACATTCCAAATGAGCTTCTCAGGCTGGGTGTTGAGGGCCTCGTCCCAAGCGCGCACCGCAATCTCCTTGGCTCCAAGCAGGTCCAAAACCTCCACCTCCAAGGACCAGAAACACCAACACCAGTACTTTCCGTACTTGTTGGGTTTCTCCGGACAGTCCAGCGTGCACACTTGCCACGTTTCACCACCGTCCAGGGTTACTTCCACACGTGTTACCTTTCTCCCACCACCTGCACACACTCTCACCAATAAATACACTTCCAAGTGGATCACAATAACACTAAACCGCAATCCCGCAACTTCCAACACCTCTTACGCCCTCTAACATATCACTACTTACGCTAAATCTGACCAAATCAACACTCCATTCCCACGTTTTCTTTTTTCTACTCAACTATAAATTTCTTCAATTTCATGAATAATAACTATTTTTTCTAGTCCCTCAAAATCAAAATTATTGCCAGACCATATACATATAAAAGTTAATATGTATCAGTCTTACAAAAGTTCTTTTCTAATGTATTGACCTATAAAAAACATCGTTTTTTTCTGCTTCCCTTCTCGTATCTTTTTTCAATATTACTATCGTATCTAAACCTTCTGCTTTCGTAGAAATTAAATAAAAATATTGGGAAATAAAAAAAAGTCCTCCTATATTTAACCACAAAGACAAATACGTGTTTCTTGTGGGAATGACATAAAACTGACCAGAATACGCGTAACCTCTGAGCAAATAAGGTATCTGAGTAGTCCATGAGTTGATGGGCAAGATCTCATCGTGGCAGGGTGTGGTTATGACAGAGTTTATGTTAAGCTCGTTGATAATATACTCTGGCTTGTACCACCAAGCTAAAAAATTTGAAACAGAGAAAATATTAGTATTTAATTAACGTCTATGGCAAGGGCAAAATATAAGAAATAGAATATTGAATAATACCTTCTGCATTGGCAAGTTCGGCATCCACGTGAGAAGGTAGAACCCTGTTGTCCTGGTAATGGTAATAACTTTGAGATTGTTGGGTAGTGACAATGATGCGCTTCAACCACTTGATCATGCGGCCTCCAATAAAACCGGGTATAATCATCCTAACGGGGAAACCGTGATCGGGCGTCAAACGCTCCCCGTTTTGCATGTAAGCGAGGATGATGTCGCGGGAGGGATCGAGTGCAACCTCCCTCATGATACTGGTCCCGTACTTGGAGCCACCGCCACCTGGCAAATCCTCGGCGCCTTCGAAGCACACGTGGAGCGCGCCCTTGGTGCGGGAGTAGATCCCGCAGCGCTTGAGCAGGGCACGCAACGGTACGCCCCGCCACACCGAAGTGGAGACGGCGGCGGGGGCCCCGGTGGAGG